CCCCCGCCCCTTACCCAGCACGACGGGGGGCCCCGGGGCGCGCGTCCTGCCCCGGGGGGGTCCCGGAGCCGCGGCAGGCGGCTGGGAGCAAAGCAGGAGCAGCGCCAGGAGGGCCAGCGGGGTGGCCGGGAGGAGCCGCGAGGCGGAGAGCAGCCGCCCCATCGCCTTCGGGCTCGCCCCGCCGGCCAGCGCAGCAGTAACGGAAGAGAAGCCGCGGAGCTCCGCCCGCCTCGCTCTCCCAAGCCGAAATGAGGCGGAGCGCGCCGACAGGAGGCGGGTCGCTCCTAAAAAAGGCGAGCCTCCGACCAATCCGGTGCTCGCCGGCTTCCGCGCAGCCAATCGGGAGGAAAAGGGGGCGTTCCGGAGGAGCCTCTCGCGCGCCGCGCCTCTTTTTTCTGGAAGCCATCCAGGTTTGGCGAGTTGAGAGCGGATGCATCGATGAAAAGCAGCGGGTCTCTGTCGCCTTTCAGCGCGTACCGCCGAGGCACAATCGATCGCCGATCGAGTCGATGCCATTAGGCTGGGAGGGGAGGAGTGGGGATTCCTGCTTTTATTTTGCTTTGTTTTTGGAAGCGTCCTTAGTAGGGTTTATTGATTTATTTTATTTATTTGTTTGAATTTTTATCCCGCCCTTCTCCTTACGGACTCAGGGCGGCTGACAGCCTGGTAAAACAGATACAAAGATAAAAATACCCACTTTAAAACCTAATTAAAATGAAATATTTGATGTGGCCTGTGTCAATTTAAAATTATTCTTAAAACCCCACTAAAAATTCCCCTAGGGTTGCCAGGTCTGCTTCCAAAAAATAGCGGACAAGCGGGGGGGGGGGGTTAATTAGTAAAAAAAAGTAGAGCTTTAGATTACGTACCATTTCATCATAAAGCTTTTGAATAAAAAAAAATATCCACTATTTTGTGAAAAAAAATAGTGAACATAATGTGAAAAAAGTGGACTGTCCACTCAAATAGTGGACACCTGGCAACCCTTAGTGCATTTTTTTTTAAAAAGTCCAGTTTTTTAAAAAACTTTTTTTTAAAAGTTTAATTCAGCGATGGCTAGGGAATGATGGGAGTTGGAGTCCAACCCTTCTTTAAAATAGCTCAAGATTGAAAAAACACCTGTTTGGACTGTTTTGCAAGCCTTGTTTTCATGCGGTCACGTGCTGGTTTGTTAACTTCTTGTGTCCCGATTTGGTAGTCTTCCCCCCCCCTCTCTCTAAAGCCGTAAGAATTCAAAGATGCTCAGGATGGTGACCCTGCTTGAGAAAGAATGGATAAGAGCTCTGAACTTTTTCAGATGCTTTGCTCCAGAGTTTAAAGATCAAATCAAATCAAAGCAACCTTTATTGTCAAAGTACAACATGTGTACAATGAGATTGGCTAAGCCTCCCTTCGTGCGCCTCCCCACACACAACTCACAGTGACAACAAACACACAATCTTATTACACCACGTGAACTTATTGCACGCCGCGGCGTCCCCGCAAATCTATCATTACATGGAGTTATTTCCCATTCAGGAGTCTGACAGCTCATCAGTATCAAAAGTAACGAGGGAAAAGTTTTTTTGCAGCGCTTTTCAACAGCTGCTTCGGTTGTGTGATGTAATCGTTTTCCCGTAAAATCGTAGCTGCAAACGAGCTTGGTGGTCGGCTGGGTCCAAAGCTCTTGCTTGATGCAAGCTCAGCTTGAGTTTCGCTGCAGGAAAGAGGCAGAGGAATCAGCCCCCCCAAAATTAAATACTCTGCACCATGTGACTTGCTTTAAAGGTAGTCTGAGAGATTAAAAAAAAAAAGGATTCAGCTAGTGTAGGAATTTTTCCCCCAAGATCTGTAAAGCAAAAACAGCTCTGCTAAAATTCAGAACCGCAATACCAATAATTAGAACCGTTCAAAAAAATGGGGAGCTAATTTTTAAGATCTCTGGATTCCTTCATCAAACTGGTCTCAAATTGGATTGTTATTTTGGTGGTGTCGGTGGGGGGGAGATTGGTATTCACACACCCCTCCAGCTTTCTATTCTCTAATATCTAGCCTTCTCTGGACTAGTAGTCAATTGAAAGCATCAGGATACAGTATGCATTTTTGTAATAAACAAATAAAGTTTTATAAAGGTAGTCCTCAATTTACGCCACATCTGGGTACCACTTTGGTGGGCAACTTTTAATGGGGGGTCATGAAAAGATCTCCCAACTGGGTGTGCCCCTGATGTCATTGTTCAATCCTTTCAACTCAGAAGTACTTCACTGCTCCCAAAACAAATATAATAATAGTAGCTATTGACTATGCTTGTTGGGAAAGGGCTGGGAAGGTCACAAATGGTTATAACAAGTCATAAACACACGCTGGTTGCCAGAATTTTGAACACATAACTGTTGTGATGTGAGGACTGGTTATAAGTTACTTTTCTCAGTGCACTGTACTTTTTAACGGTCATTAAACAAATGATTTTAAGCCAAGGGCTACCTGTACATATTGCTCTGCTTTCATCCATACTGTTTTAAAGATATTGTCCATGTAAATCTTCAAAACTTGATTGCCATTAAAAATTGGAAGTGTCTGTTATTTTGTTTTTCCTCCTCCTCCCTCTTTCTCCCCTCTCCACCCTACTGGTCTTGAAAATTTGCTGCCTATGTTGGACGTTTTCAGTTAGTCTCTGAATTTTGAAATTCTTGCTCAGGGTCTAAAAGAATGCATTTTAAACTGCATGCAATACTGCAAGATCCTTCTTCCCCTGTGACTGTCATTAAGCAGCTAAAGGAAGACTTCCTGATAAATCCATCAAATGGTTCATTCACTCCTTTGAGTTGAGGAAGAGTTCTAAGTACCGTATGTGGTTGGACTCAGGACTCAACTATGCTGCAGAAGCCACATGACACAACTCCATTTCAGTTAAACAAATTGTTTGCCATGTGGTTAACTCACTGAAAGACAGATTTAACGGCAAGTTTAAATTGACGCAACACAACTGTTCAAGAGACAAGTTTTTTTCTTCTTCTCCAAGCCTAGCATCCTCAAGTTAGGATGAATGACAATCAGTCATTCCAAAAGGCAACTGGATTTTCTTGGTTTTCTTTCCTTTGAAAACATTTCACTTCTCATCCAAGGAGCTACTTCAGCTCTAACGGACTGGTGGGGAATGAAAGGACTTCATAAACCTGGACGATTGAGGATCTCCATTGACCTACAAGCAGTCATCATTTCCAATGTGTAGGATCAAGGTAGCCAAAGTCTATTGGCCAGCCTAATAAAGGACGATAGGAGTTGTAATCCAATACACGTGAAGGATTTGCAAAAGGAGATACCCTGATATCTGATGTACTCCTCCTAAATTTGTGAGTACATTCAGCTGCCTTCGTGGGCCCTGAGTAAATGTGCTGTAGAAATATCTGAAATGATCCTCGCCTCTTGCACAATTTCCCATCCTTTGAACAAGTTTGCACAGAAAAGATGCTTGGGCTGTTTTTCGGGTCCACCAAATGATGCAATGGGGTGGCTCCAGGTGATTCACAGGTGCCAAATCGTTCTATTTCCACTTGTAGTAACTGGGAAACGTCTCAGATACGGTCCTGTCTTCCAGACAGTTGGATTTATCCCTTTTTCTTTTGTCAAGGGCACGGTGGTCTCCACCCACCCTTGAATTATACATTGCTTGAAAAGCACAGCTAAGGAAAAGAAAAATAACGTGGCTGCCCTGAGGCTTTTTTTTTCATTCTGCTGAGTTGAACTGCTACCCACCCATTCTTAAATCAGCAGAAAATTATTCTGGCCTGACCTGTGCTTTGCCCTAGTCTTTGTTTCCAGTCACTCAGCTTTTTTCCAAGATAACAGGGGATAAAGCTAACAGAACATCCATATCTTGAGGATGGCATAACTCAATTGCTGAAATACAAAGAGCCCCTAGATTGTAGCAAAGAGATAAAAAAGCCACTAATGATTTGCTGGTCTTTGGATCTGGATTTCGCAGCCCTGATATCTGAGTCCTACTGTTGGATGTGGTTGGAATATGGAGGAAAGCACTATTTTAAAATGGAAGAACTAAGCAAGTTAAGGATGACTCATAGATGGCAGACATACTTGTATGCTAGTTTGGTATAAGTCAAAAAGGGCCCGTGATTGCATTTACGCAATATAGTACCCTCATTCCATCAATTTCTTTGGGTTTATAAATGATGATTTGTGGTTTAGCTTTACCTCCACCTGTCTTCGTTTGGCTTAACAAAGTGTGCTTAAAACTTATTGTGTGAAAATGTCAAACAGCATAAGCAGAGAAGGATATTTACATCCAGCTGGTCATCAGAATCTAATCAGCCTTAGTCACTCTGGAAAAAGCAGGGCCAACATTTCAATGTGAAACTTCCTGGAAATCCAGGAATCTAGACTAGCTTGGTAATTTTCTTATATTTAACAGTAAAGACGTGATACTTCTGATTTCTCATTAATAGATAATGTCATGGGCACCTGTAGTACTCTCATCTTCTAAACCAGGGGTAGTCAACCTTGGCTCTTTTATGACTCGTGGACTTCAACTCCCAGAATTCCTGAGCCAGCTAAGCTGGCTCAGGAATTCTGGGAATTGAAGTCCACGAGTCATAAAAGAGCCAAGGTTGACTACCCCTGTTCTAAACGAGCAAACTTTTATTATCAAAGTATAACATGTATACAGTGAGTAGGCATTAGGAAATTTCCAGTTGAGGAAGCAAAATGAAATTCTGTTGACAGGAATAATTAGGCAAATTAGGAGGAGCTCTGCTCTTTTACTCAATCAACTTTTGCACTGCCATTTTAATTTAAACAGGAACTCAGGGTCTCTTGCTCAATGCAACCGATGCATCTGCTAATCTTTCTTCTCCAGACAAGCGGTGGCTTCTGGTCAGCTCCCGAAGATAATGTTTTGGATAATGTCTCCAAAACATCTTGGTCTCCTCCGGATCAGGTTGTAAAATAGTGCTAGGAAGATTGCTTTGTTTGGAGAGCCTGAGTGTTGAAAGAAAGGGTTTGTTGTACAATTGGTTCCTATCAAAGCCGAGTCCTTCTCTGACTTTGGGCCAGTCACCAGGAGACAGGGAGTTCTAGTGCCGCCTTAGCCATGAAAGCCAGCTGGGTGATTTGAGCAAGTCACTAGGGGACAGTGAGTTCTAGTCCTGTCTGAGCCACAAAAGCTG